TGCATGCGCCATTTGTTGAACGGTTCCTCTCCCAAGGAACCCAGGATGGTACATGAGGATTTCCTCCTTCCAACAAGCCTGCAAGGAAAGCTAAATTGTGCAACAGGGACTTGACCTAGATCACCCAAGGGTTACCAGGAGCTTAACTCAGGACCAGCTTCTCTAGTTCAAATCTGCTGTACTATATACCCTGCCAAATTCTAGCATGCAAACTTGAGAGCACTCTGCCTGATGCTGACTTTTGCACATTTGGTGAAGATATTTTTGTTCTAACGGATCTTTAAAATGTTTTTAAAGCTGGGGGTTTTAATGGCATGTTTTGCTCTGCTTCAATATTTATTATCTTAAATGTGCAGTTTTGTTGCTGCTTTTAAATTTGTACCTTTTAAGTGAAGTTTTCTTGGTTTTATCATGTATGTCATCCTGAAATATTTGGCTAGTTAACAACTCATAAATTTATTTGTTCCTAAAGTATAATCCATTTGCTCTACAGCTTACATGGAGAAGTTGTGACTTTGTGGAGAAGCAGCAAGAAAGCAGAGACTGGCTCCCAATTCTGCAGGATCCTGAGCAGGTTTGACATTCAACTATGGTTCTGGGTGCCTTTCTTGTCTCTACCTAAATTCTATGGCAGTGAGAGGCACCTGGGGAAGAGGGCCTGGAACAATGTCTCAATATACATATAAGTTAGCATCTGTGCCCGATTTTGCCTGTGTTTTAGCAACACCATTTTGATGGTATGTAATGAGCACTTCTAAATGGAAGCGGCCTCATCCATTCACAGATACTACACTGAGACCCAAGCTTCCTGAATCCAGATGTTGTGGACTTCAGCTCCCATCAGCCCCAGCCACTGTGGCCAATGGTCAGAAATGCAGGGAATTGTCCTCCAAAACATCTGGAGGACAGCAGGTTGAGGGAGTCTCCTCTAACTGAAAAGTGAGAAAGGTGAGGGCTTGTCACATATATATTCCACTCACAAGCTCTAGCAGCACTAAAACATTCCTGACGAACTGATCCTGTTCATAGAAGTGCTTCTAGTTGCCAATTTGGAGGAGGAGAATGTGCTCAGAAAGAGTGCCCATTGCTTCTCCCTTCCCTGGTCGCCTGGCCTTCAGCAACCTGTTAGTAGCTGATGTGTGTTACACAGGTGACAGAAGGAATCGGATTTCTCCCTAAGTCCAGCTGAAGCAATCTTTGCCTTCCTTGCCATGGAAAGAAAACAGTCAGGACTGTGATTCAGCTTGGGCAAAGCTGCTGGGATGCTTCAAAGGAGCAGGAGTGCCACTGATAAGAGGAAAAGGGGATCAAGTGTGCTTCCGGTACCTTCCACCAGCACTGTGCTTGCACAGCCACTGGCCTGAGCAAAGGGAGGGAAACTCAGTACCCTCCAGATGGTCTGGACAACAGATCCCATAATCCCCAACCATAGGCCATGCTGGCTGGGAAGAAAATAATCCACACTACAGTGGCTTAGCTACCACCCTTGTTACTCAAAGAGCCCTTGATGTCTTGTGGAGAACTCATCTGGTTTTCTTTTCTTCTCTCCATTTTCTCAAAGTTTGTTGATAACATTTGAGTTGCTTTTCCAACTTAGTAAATGCTTGAATTGGCACATAAAGGTCTTCTTTCAATGTAATCTCATGCATATGTCCTCAGAAATAAGTCCTATTGAGTTCAGCAGGGTGTACAAAGCCTCACATTCAGTTCAATGGACCATACACCTTAGTAACTGGGTATATGATTGCAGCCTTAATCTCTAAATTGAGTCTCCATACGGAATGATTGCCCTTTAAAACAAGGCCTTCTGGCAGCCTTAATATCACCCTTTCCTAATCCACATAATAATTCGGTAGTCATATTTATACTCCAAAATATCTGATACCAGCTTATTTCTCTCCAGAAAATTCTAGGAACTGTAGTTTGACAAGAGTGCTGACTGCGAGTGCTTTAGCAGATTGCCCATAAGTTCCTTTATAGAATGACATTTCCACCAAAAGTTCCTTGGAGAGAAAGAAATACTTTTCCACTTCTTTAACCTAATGTAAATACTTTCCTAACTCAACTCAGCCAGATGGTTGCAAGAAGACTTTGATGGGAAAACAAAAAGCTTTTCCTTTCCTTTCTACCTCATTTCCAGAGGAAGCAAAACTGGGAAAGGGTTTTAATATTTTTAGTGTGTAACTTTGTTTTTGTATAATTTTGTATATTTTTGTTTTTGTTGTAAGCCGCCCCGAGGCTTTGTTGCGATGGGTGTGGCATAAAAATGTTTTAAATAAATAAATAAATAAATAAAATGTGCACTAATATTACCCTGTAACAAATTATGCATGTAGTATCAGGTTGCTTCAGCTAACTTATGAAGAAGCAAGACACCATCATTCTGATAATATACCTGGGTACATGCTACAATTTTCCAAATACTCAGCATAGAAAAACCTTAAACCAGAGGTGTGCAAATGGTAAAATATGCTACTAACCATCACCCATAAAGGTCAGTGCTAGAAAAGTATGATTCGTAAAGCAAACATACTGGATGTGAGCACTTTTTAAAAAACTAGGAGGATGTACGTACCACAGAATCATAAGCATTTGTTTTGACAGATTCAGCCTGGATAAAACAACCAACAATACCAGTCACCAATGGCAATCTCTAAATGCATCTTGACTAACTGTCTTAGTGTTGGTCCTCAAGATGAAGAGATCATACCATGCAATTCTAAACAGACCACTTACTCATGGCGGGGGGCAAGTAAAACTGGATGAAAGAGGAAAGGGCTTAATGAAGTACCTACATGAATAGAAGCAACCTTTCCCAAACACAAGCCCCAGCAGTAATCCTCTTTTCATGTCTGTTGAGAAGCAAAGGTGACCAACCTCCAGTCAATCCATGCGACTCTTCCATTTGGACATACCACTTAAAGCATGCCTGGAACTGAGTCAAACTACACATTACATGAATTGTGTGGCACACAGCTAAGCCTTGAACTCTGCCTTCATTTTACTGCAATTACACACAGTCCTCAACTGAATCAGGATGAAGGTGCTGTAAGATGGGAGATTAAACCTCCTTTCCTCACCCATTTGCTTCTCAAAGTTGGGAAGAGCCACTGTGCATGTTACCTTTTTAAAACCACCCCCGCAAAAAAATGGGAATTAGCTGGGTAGAAGGGAAGGTTTAAAGTTTAGTTACACTAAATGAAACAAAAAAGGAGGCTCTGTTATATGTTACACAATTAACATAGTGTGTTATTCAACCCTAAGGGTGCAATCAAGAACACACTTGCAAAGAAGTTAAGTACCACTGAATCTTCCCATTTTTATTTCTGAACAAACTTGCTTAGAATCATGCTGCATGGCTGCAATCCTCTGCATGCTTACTTGGGAGTAAGCCATACTAAACACAGGGTAATGCAATGCTGAAGAAATATGTACAGGATTGGGCAGCATGCCAGTAAACTCCACCACATTAAAAGGCAATCCATACAATTATGACAAATCAGTCGGGGACATTATGAAAATACATGTGGGGGGAATCACAGTTTAAAATGTGAGAAAGCAATTGAAGTGTTAATTTTTGCAGAAACAAAATTGTAGCAGCATTTTAAGTTTGCTTATTTTCCATTATTGACATGGCTGTAACTGACAGAACTTGGAACCAATGATGTGCATCAGACCCATTTGTGAATTATTTGGGGGAGGGGATGAGATGTATTTGCAATGCAGATTTGGTCTTAAAATTCCGTTTGCTGAAACATTGAGATTTATAAACTTCACTGAACAGTTTATTTGCTTTCCAATTATTATGTACTTTACTGATTAATTTGTTTTCAAAGCATCTTCTTCAGTCATCTATTAGTTCAAAAACACCATCACTAAAGTACAAGCAATATTTCCTCCAGTCTCTTCTTACTGGCAACCAGAATAACTGATTGGCCCCTTTTGTCAGCCAGCCACAGCAGCCTCCCTCAACCTGGTGCCCTCCAGATGTGAGAGACTACAACCCCACGCCAGATGTTAGAATAATGGGTCAGCACATCTAGAGGTTTCCACATTGGAGGAAGCTACTATGACAGAAAAAGCATGGGATGTTTGTTGGTGTACCACCATGGAATTATGAGAAAATGTTTCTTGACTCTGACATGAAATGCCCTTCTCTCTCCTTCCCAAGTGCCACAAGGGGGGAGAAATCTCTGATGTCAACCATGTACCTCAAGGCCACTGTTCCTCTGTCACATAGAGTTGCATCACAGCCTGCTCAAAGCCCAGGGGCTGTAATGTCCATCAGCTGCATTACTGGTGCCTTTCCATGTACTGCTCTAGGCAAAGAGGTGGAAGAACTGGCTTGAGGCAGCGGAGGCAAACAAGACTTTGGATGAAAGAGGAAAGGACCTGGGCAATGATGAATCTACATGAATAGGAACAACCTTTCTCAAACACAAGCCCCAACTGTAACCTCATGTCTGTTGGAAAGCAAAGGAGGCCAACGACAGAACTATAGAATCAATCCATGCCACTCTGCAACTTATGCTAAGTAACCGGACATCAAAGGCACCAATTAATTTGTGATTTGGGGGAATGCAGCAATATTTGGAAGTTGAAAAAGAAGTAGTAGTCAACTCTTGGCAACCGCAGCAAATTACGTAAATAGCCCCGAAGGTTCCCTCCTGCACGTTCACCTGTGAATTCAGCTGCAAATTCTGCAGTAGCATCACAAACACAACCATTAATCTGCTGAAGGCCTGACTGGATTTGAAATGACAGCATTGGTTCTGTTCGTTTCCAAATGTAATTCAATAGCCGCCAATGCGGCAGTCACGCTTTGTCACCATCCTGATCCTTGCTGAGGCAGTGTCTCTCGCACAGGCAAGAAATCAACAGAGGCTTCTGGAGTGGCAAGAAGCCAGGCTTTTTGTCCCCTTTCAGCCCACTGCAAATCTGAAACAATTGTCCATCAGGTGCCCACAGCACAGAGAGAAGGAAAGAGGCAAGGAACTTACGCAAGGCGTGCCACTCATCCTGACGGATGGTCTTGGTTATATTGTAGGTGAGATTCTTGGGAATTGTTGCTGAGGAGTAGTGGTACTTGATATATGAACACTGGTCGATGGCTCCTGAGAAAGGCAAGGAGACATGCAAAAGGCAGTTATTTATGCAAGACTGGAGTCCATTTCCATTAAAAAGGAGCTCATGAACTGAAATGGGAAACCAACAGGGAAATCACAAACAGGGTTGCACCTTGTGATCAAAGCAACCTTTGTCCTTCCCTCCCTTCTAGAAATATCCCTGAAAAATAACATGCCCAAACATTACCGGTCATCTAGAAGCATTAAACATCTGCAATACAAGGTTGATTCTTCCCACATCTCTCTTTGAAAGAGAGACACAGAAACTTTTCATCCCTGTGCTCTACCTCTGCTGCACACACATACCCTCTCCTCCATGACCAATGAGATTCAAATACCATGGATGTGGGAGAAGCAGAGAGAAAACCCTTTCCCGTCATCTATGTTTTGCCTTCAGGGGTGCCTTCAACGGCTATTAGCAGCAGGAAACCATTTTGGAGTCTTGAAAGAACTATTTCTGTGCCACCCAAATTTTGCTGATGCGTACAATGGAGATATCGTCATGAGAACATAGCTAAGTGAACAAGCCCTTACTTCCATGTTCATGCTTGGCCATCAATGCATTCAAATTCAATTCACTCAGAACACGCTAATGAACCATTTATTGTGCTTTTAAAATACAAATGCTTGTAAATACTACACGTGGCAAGCACAATCTAAAGAGATGCATTCTCCATTTTCTTCTACACAAGTAGGAGAGCCTCCATTCAGTTCATGCTTGCTATATTGCCTGCATGCATCACCCCAAGAAAATAGGCTTCTTGCTTAAGGACAATATTTTTACTTGTGACACATCTGTTACTCCTGTAATATTTTATTGATATGCAAAGATGTGCAAATTTAAAATGATAGATCCATGCTTTGATCAACTCAAATTCAAAGGATGAATTGATTAAAAATTCTTTAATTGGGCTGCAGACATAATTAAAGAAATAAGTCTTGAAAGGTCAATGAAACTGATTGCCATGCATATTGGATGACTGCAAATTTTCTGCAAATCAATATCCTCTTTGGTCTTATTATGTAGCAATACAAGTCTTCTTTCTTTTGAGATGTGTTTAAGTGCCCAGCCTACCTGCTTCACTCTGCCTAAAGGGAGGGCCGGCCCACAGATGAAGGTGGGTGTAACATTTTACCAGCTAAGGAGCAGCAAGATGTCAAAGAAATCTGCAAAGGATTCAGAGGAGTTTGGATTTCTATACATCTTAGTTGTGGATGCCACAGCAGACTGACTTTTTCTGAGTCATACAGATGCCATGGCCTTGCAAGCCATTTTTAACCGCAGCAGGTGGGGGCAGGCAGGTGGGTTGTATGAGTGGTGCAAATGCTTTGCTTTATAAAAGCTAATTGCAAAAGATCAGCTCCTGATGGAAATGACGACTAGCTAGGACTAGTTCACTGCTAAGGCTCAAGACAGCTGGCTGTTTTTAAGACTCTCCTAGGGGATACGGCTATAGGGAGTGTCACAATGAATTCCTGGATTTTTAAGTTTACCTTTATACTACTGCCACACAGGAAATGTGGGTGAACTTCTAGAAATTCTTCTAAGGCAAACCTTCCTCAATGTAGGGCCTTCCTATAACTCCCAAGATTCTTAACCTTTGGTTATGCAGGCTGGGGCTGATGGGAGCTGAAGACCAAAACATCTGGAGTGCTCCAATGGAGGAAGGTTCCTTTAGGGAAACACTGAAGAGGAAAAGCAGACAAATCCATTTGAAGACTGTAATTAGCTAGAGCTGGTTTACTAACAGCGATCAGCACAGCTGCCTGCATGTTTGGACTCTCCTTGGGGGTGACATTTTGGGGATGGTGTAATAATGGTGTAATATTTTGCCATTACACCATGGACAGTGCAGAGGATGTTATGTTTTCAGGCAGACAGACAGATATGTTCTTAATGGAACTGGACAGTGCTGCGGAAAGCAACACCGATTGTAGGTCTGAGTAACTGCTTCATGGGATGTCGTTCTTTCTGGGCATCAAGACAGCACTAGCCAGAAGGAAAAGTCTCGGCCTGCAAATGCTGCTTCTGGACCAAAGAAAGGAAAAGAAGTCACGCTAAGGGTAGATCATGGGAATGGGGCAGCTCACCAGGTGTACTCTAGGAGTCATGCTGCAGAGTATCTGATTGTTTTGGGCTCTACAGAAGACACCTTCAAAGGGAACGAGGTACAAGAGTATTCCTAGAGTCCAGGTGAAGAACACAAATGAACTACACCTGAGCACCATACTTCAATGGCATTTGATATCCAGCCTGCCTAGATCTTTGCTACTATTTTCTTTTATCAAATGAGCCATGGAGCCACATTGGATCCTGAAACTAGACTTGGCATGAATGCACCACCAAAGTCGGAGGGTGAGTAAAGCGTTACACAACTAAATTGCTGGTTACGACAACATAGGCGGGTGAGCAACTTTCCAAGTTACTGGAGGTGTTCATTGTTTGCTTTCCTTGTGTGCTCCAAACATTCTGCCTTCAACAGCAATTAGATTAGACAAAGCCAAATATTATAGGGGAGAAAGCGAAATATTTACATAAGCACCCGTCTGCCCTGCCAGTGTGATGGGCTCCAGCGTGTGGCTTCACCATCTGGGCACCAAATGCACACCCAGAATGAAAGTTTCCAACTAAGAACTGTAGTTTTTTTAAAAATGCGATTTTTTTTCAGTGCCCAAACCACCACATTCTGTCTCATGAACTATTTAATGTCAACCTGTCTGCCTAAGGGATGCAAAGCCATATCCTAAACCCCACCCCTGAAGTGGGCTTATTTGTCAAGAATTAATCTCGGGGCTATCACAGGTACCAGTCTGGAGCAAGCTTTCTTCCTGGAAGGAAAGAAAAGTATGCAAATCTATTGGAAAAATGAGACACATGAAGATATGAGAAATGACAGCTTCTTCCAGTGCTACATTTGACACCATTATTCCCTCACCCTCGCCATCACCTTTTCTTTTAGTTGTTACCTTTTCCTCATGCCTGTGTTCATTAGCCAGCCAGTCAGGTATCATCCAGTGAATGAGATGAACTCACAGTGTGATGACCTGGTTTGCATGTAATGACAACCCAGAGTATGGCTTTGTCATTGTACCATCAGTTGTCATTGCACAGGAACCCTGCACTGAGTTTGTTTAACACAAATGACCCACAAGGAAGCAAAACTTCTTGGCTTTTCTTCCTGGGCTGTTTGTGATGCCCAGGAAGAAAAGCCAATCCTCCACTATGGCTTACCCATAGGTAAGTCATAGTGGAGAGTTCACATGAAACAACAACCCATGATTCAACCATCTGATTCTGTTACGATCCATGATCCGTCTGTATGCAGGGTTGTCACACATGTGAACCAGGTCTATGCCTTCAGTCAAATCTGACAATATAATGAAGTCAACAAGGGCATGTGAGAGCAAAAGCCATGCAAATCATTAAGCCAGCTTTTCCCACCGAATGCTGAAAATCTCCTTAAAAGGTTTAATTGGTTTAGATCCATGGTTTAATATTAAATACTGCACTTGAGGTTCTCATTGTGTCAGTCCGTACAGCCATGCCCTGAGGGCAATTCAAAAATCCAGAGAGGTATAAGTTGTGCAGGCAGGGTTGGGCCTCAGGGCCTTGCAGGACAGCACAAGTCCATTTTATTCCTGGAGTCATGGTAGTGCCACAGTTCAAGTGCGCCTAAAATGCAAACTGCACATGCTCGGGGTATTTTTTTTAAATCGAGGCTGGCAAATCTTTTGATAATGGGGACTGGTGGGCGGGGTAGTGTATCCAATCTGGATTTCAGTTGGAACTTTTGAGAGCTATCCATGAAGCCTAAACCTAAGCCTAACCCATGGACCTATCACCAAATGTGATTCAGCACCATGGATAGCTTCATTAAAGTTCAGGCTGAAACCCATCAGCCTGAAAGTGGTTGTGAGGGGTGCAGAGGAAGACATGTAAATTGTCTGCTTCAGGACTGAGGTACTGTGCAAGGCCATCTAAACAGACTTCCTATAAGAGCATAATTAATTATCAAATATCAGTCATCTTTCTATACTGCCTCATAGCTGAAGCTGTTAAGTCCAGGGTCTAAAATTATCTCGTGCCATATCGATAGTAGATCTAGCATTTTCATCTCCACTAGGAGCAGGTCTTTTGTAAAACTAATGGATTTTAAAAATGAGTCTTTATTGCCCATTCAAAGCTAAATCACTCTAAAATCCTTTGCATTTCATCAGGAATATATTGTGTTGGGAAAATGCATTCCAGTGTGGTGTACTGGTTAAAAGCATAGGACTGGGACTCAAGCGATCTGGGTTCTAGTCCCCACTCAGCCATGGAGTTCACTGGGTGACTTTGGGCCAGTCACAGACTCTCAGCCCAACCTACCTCACAGGGTTGTTGTGATTATAAATTGAGAGGAGGGGGAGAATTATGTCAGCTGCTTTCAGTTCCTTGGAAGCCAAAAATCTCCAATATAAATATATTGGATAAAAAAACACATATACTGGATTGTGGCTAAGCTCAGAGAGAATAGGATAGTCTGAAAGAAGGTGGGAAGGATTGCCGATGATACCTTTATCCTGGTGAACAAAAAGTGCTAGCACTGCAGCCCTGCAAGCCATTGGTCCACTACACCAGCAGGAAGTTTATTTGCAATAGGGCTGATCTATATTCCACATTAAATAGGTCTGCTCCTTTAGCAGCCCCAAAGCCCAGGAACTGCCTACAAGCACCGACATTCTCTACAACACCGGTGGACAGAGAAGGAGACTTCAAATGCTGTGCACATGTGCTCCTCGAAATGTAAGACTAACATATGAATAATACATAAAACATATCTGAATGGAATGAATAAAGATCAGAGAACAAGAAGATCAGTGATCTCAATCCCTCCTCCCCCCCCCCCCGATATAATCCTATAAATGTTTGCTCAGAAGTAAGTCCCACCAAGTTCAACAGAGTTTACTCCCAGGTAAGAAGATCAAGAATGAAGAACTTAAGAATA